ACCTAAAATTGGTTGCATTCCTGAATATACTTGTGCACTAAAGCTAATTCCAGATGCAAAATCCATTTTTATTAAACCACGTACTGTACCGTATACTTTAAAATCAAAAGTAGAACAAGAATTAGATAAATTAGAAACTGAAGGTGCAATAGAAAAAATAGACGTATCAGAATGGGGTACCTAGTAGTTGTCCCAAAGCACGATGGCACAGTTCGTATTTGCGCAGATTTTAAGGTTACAATCAGCAATCAGCTTCAAAATGCCAGGCACCCAATTTCTAGAATTGAGGACATTCTCAATAAATTAAGTGATGGAAAATATTTCTGTACGCTCGATATTTATAAAGCTTATTTACATTTGAAAGTCGATGAAGAAAGCGCAAAATATCAGACTCTTTCTACTTATAGAGGTACATACTTAGCAAAAAGATTATTTTTCGGAATAAGAACTGCACCAAATGAATTCCATAAATTTATTGTTCAGTTTGTCCAAGATTTGGATGGAACTATTACCTACTTTGATGATATTATCATCCACGGAAAAGATGAAAAATTTTCTAAATCTTACAAATTTTGTATAGTAACGTAAGACAAAAGAACGTAAACGTAACGTAATATAAAGTAAAGCAAAAAGAAAAGAAAAAAAGAAGAAAAAAATGAGAAAATCTCCCGAAAGTAGCACTTAAAATTGAAATATCTTTCGAATAAACTATAACTTTAAATAAAACTTGCGCTAAATTGATCAGAAATGGCCCTGCTAACCCGTAAATTTCAATTCTGTTTCCGTGGCCTGCAAAGCAGCCTCTATGGCATATTCTACTACAAGTTTAACAGTTAATAATTCTCGAATTAGCTCTCTATGGTTAAATTATTTTATCACATTGTGCTTCCTGTACATTTTCTACTCTTTTTCGTAATTACAAATTTTTTAGTTTTGTTGAGCAGCAAAACAAAATCTAACGAAATTCGATACAGCAACGACACTTGCGATTTTTTTAATGTGATAGGCTATGCCCCTGTTGACATCGTTTGCCAAATACTCTGATATTCTCTTATTTTTAATTCTCATTTTTATATTATCCATTTATTTATATATATTTTCCTCTTAAAAACCGATTTATGAAAAAAATAAAGATAAAAATTAGAGACCATTTTGGTTTATAAAACATACACCGAAGAGCCATTACATTATAACCACCCTGCTAATAACATGTATGACCACCTTAAGCCCTCAAAACTGCTAGCACCCGCGCCGTGGCATTGATTCCACAAGGTGCTGATAGGTAGTCTGAGGTATCTGGTACCAAGAGCTCACCAACTGGTCCTGCAAAGGGGGTAGCGCGGCAGCACGAATTTGGTTTTCCAAGTAGGACCACAAATGCTCTATTGGATTAAAGTCAGGTGAATTTGGGGGCCAAGATATGACTTGAAAGTCACTGGAATGTTCCTCGACGATTCGACTATTATGACATGGTGCATTATTCTGTTAGTAAACACCATCCCCAGCAGGGAAAACTGTTGCCACGAATGGGTGAACCTGGCCTGCAACTATGTTCAAGTAGCTTACAGATGTCAGGGATTGTTCTATGAGGATTATGGGTCCTAATGTGCCCCATGAAAACATTGTTCCTGGGCGAAAAAACCATGAAAACCTGGGCGAGCCTATTGTTATAGATGGAGGGTGGTCATAATGTAAAGGCTCTTCGGTGTATAACTATCAGAATTTTATGTAAGAACATATTGTTACTATGTTAATCTTATAACAAACTGGACGATTACTTTGATTTCAAAAATAATCAATTGGATATGAAAAAAATATTAAAACTTAGGGATACGGAACGTAAGACACTATAAGAAATTATTTTACTTGTTAAGGGCGCATAACGATAACTTAACTCTCACTCTTACTTTTTTTCAAACTTCATTTATTAATAATTTTTTGTTACTTTTGATCAGTACCGTCTTTATGCATGGGCACACCCGGGCAGTGCCCAGGGGCCCCAGGCACTCAGGGGGCCCTTGAGAATCTTACTTTTTATAAATTGTATTAAAAAAAATCCAACTAATGATAAACAACTTTGCATTATATAATTTTTTAAATAAATCCCAAATAGCAAAATATGGTTCATTTTCACTCAGCAAAAACCTTCTAATGTAAACCTAAAAAGGTTCGTTATGCGGTTTACGTGTAAATCTTCTAACCTTAAAACGAGATCTGTGACAATCTGCTCTATTCTACTCACATTACCCTAGTCCAAAACCTTGGAAAACAACCTTCGATATTAAAACCTTAAATCGAGGTTGACTTAGAGTTTTCACGCGTGAAAAAAATCCTTTAATAAAGCTAGTCTCAAGGTGTAAATACTCTTAAACCTAAGTAATTGTAAGGTTTCTTTTCACTAAGTCTTGCATGCTCAGCTAAAATCCACCTTGTCATGAAATTTTTATGAGCAATGCAGTTTGATTCTATCGTTAGTGTGTGACGTCAGCTAAAACGTCATGATGGACCTAAGTGACCATTTTACCTAAGTTACAACACTTATTTAAAAAATAATTTGTAATCCTTTTAGGATGAAAGGTTTAAAAACTGCAATATTTTTGCCTTATTACAAAAAGGATTTTAGTACAAACACTTTCGTTCGACAATAAGAAGAAAATTCTGACAGAAGGTAGCCTTAAGGTTGCATGCTTTCTGGGATATATACTAGTGTAAAAAGTACGCATTTTTTTTTTCAAGAATAGTGATTGATTACCATGCAAACACCAATACTTTGAACAGTTTATTACTAGGGAAAAAAATAGTGCGTGGATTCCCTCCGCGTGGAAGAAGTTAAACTTCGCAACCTGCGACGTTAATTGTAGAGAAATCAGCAGTCGTAGAAGGATCACTAGTTCTATTCAACGACTCTTTTTCCTGCTCGTTTCCGTGCTCTGTAATCACGGTAATATTGTGCATTTTTCCCTCGTGGACCTCTTGAAAGAACTCTGCATTTAAACAAAAGTTATTCAAAGAAATTGAAATTTTGAAATGTAATTTCGAATGCTTGGACAGCATTGATTAAAGAGTACAAAATTGAAACATCGAAACATTTTGCTTTGTAATCATCAAATCCGATAAATTTTGTTTTGTAGGCATATCTGTACCATCTCAGAAAATGCAAATCCAGCTATCCCAGGAAATTTTGTCGGAGAATGGTTTGAAACCGGATGATATAGACTACTTTGAAGGTCATGGTACCGGATCACATGTTGGTGATCCTATTGAATTGAATGCTATTGCCCAAGTGTATTGCAAAAACGGAAGGAACAGACCTATGTATGTTGGATCAGTAAAAAGCAATATTGGACATACAGAAGCTTGTGCTGGTGCGTAGAATAACTTTATTATGTATCTTAAAACCTGGTTTCTTAGGACAAGCGCCTTATCTGGGCGTCAGCGTTAAGTTGACGTTACTCTGACGCCAACAAAATACTGGTTTGTTAGCTCAAGGCCTGGTTTCTTAGGAGAAGCGTCTCAACTGGGCGTCAGCGTTACGTTGATATAATTTTGACGCCATAAAAATACCGTTTTGTTAGCTCAGCGTGAGCAGTCGGTCCAACACAGACATTATCTCGCATTGCGCATGCGTTNCAATAAATTCTAGTCAGCGTTAATATAGCCATATAAATTTAAATTCGTAAAGGCAGTGGCCCCCATCCCCCCCAAGCTCTTGGGCGCATTCTCGGGCAAATTCTAAATCCCCCCCTCCAACTATTCGTTTTATTTAGTGTAAAAATCCCCCCCCCCAAGCTTTAAGTGGGCGCATCGTGCGCCCACCTTCCCCCCTGGTGGGGGCCCCTGTCTGTACGCTCGATATTTACAAAGCTTAATTACATTTGAAAGTCGATGAAGAAAGTGCAAAATATCAGACTCTTTCTACTTATAGAGGTATGTACATACTTAGCAAAAAGATTATTTTTCGGAATAAAAACTGCACGAAATGAATTCCATAAATTTATTGATCAGTTTGTCCAAGATTTGGATGGAACTATTGCCTACTTTGATGATACTATCATCCAAGGAAAATATAAAAATTTTTCTAAATCTTACAAATTTTGTATAGTAACGTAAGACAAAAGAATGTAAGCGTAACGTTATATAAAGTAAAGCAAAAAGAAAGAAAAAAAGGAGAAAATCTCCCGAAAGTAGTGCTTAAAATTGAAATATCTTTCGAATAAACTATAATTTTAAATAAAACTTGCGCTAAATGGATGAGAAATGGCCCTTCCAACCCGTAAATTTCAATTCTTTTTCCGTGGCCTGCAAAGCAACCTCTATGGCATATTTTACTACAAGTTTAACAGTTAATAATTCTCGAATTAGCTATCTATGGGTTAAATAATTTTATCACATTGTGCTTCCTGCACATTTTTCTACACTTTTTCGTTAATTCCAAATTTTTAAGTTTTGTTGAGCTGCAAAACAAAATCTAACGAAACTCGATACAGCAACGACGCTTGCGATTTTTTTAATGTGACAGGCTATGCCCCTGCTCACATCGTTTGCCAGCCACCCTGGTATTCTCTTATTTTTAAATCTAATTTTTATATTAGCCATTTATTTATACATAATTTCCTCTTAAAAACGGATTTATGAAAAAAAATATTAAAGATCATTTTGGTTTATAAAGCTTATAACTATTAGAATTTTATGTAAGAACATATTGCTACTATGATAATCATATAACAAACTGGACAATTACTTGGATTTCAAAAATAATCTATTGAATATGAAAAAAATATTAAAACTTAGGGATACGGAACGCAAGACACTATTAGAAATTATTTTACTTGTTAAGGGCGCATAACGATAACTTAACTCTCACTCTTACTTTTTTTCAAACTTCATTTATTAATCTTTTTTTTGTTACTTTTGATATTAAGTCAAGCACGAGCTTATAAATCGAAGATCTCGAGAGGAGATAAGTTTTCATTATTTAAAGCAAGCAAAGGAGGAAATCACGAAAAAGCATTTGAAATTGCTTATAAATTAAGTGCTGTCTGGATCGTGATATTCAGCTTTTTCCCCTTTATTTTTTACCTCTATTTTGTTATAAAATCCACTGGTATTGGAGACATTAAATAATTGAAAAGCATTGCTTCGGAGATGTGACAAGTTTTAGTCATTTTTCTAAGTAAGTTTCATGTTCGTTTTTCTACTTTTAATTCGATTGAAACTGATTTGAGATTCTTTTTCCCGAAAAGAATTCCGATACAAAACTAAGTTGCTACATTTACGTACGTACTCTACTGCTATCATAATAACTAGATTATAATGTAATTATTGAATAAAATTATTTGTTTATCATGCAAAAAAGTCATGCTCACTATAAAATTAAAAATGGCCATTAAGTAAATATTACTACTAATTCAGAGATATAGCCTGTCAAAAGACATAAATTTTTTTACTGATATTAAGAGGATAAGATATAATAATGTAAGTGATTATCTTTAAACTTATTTTTTACGCTTTAAAAAAAGAGAATAAATTTAATACAGATTTAAAAAATTGCATATTAAATGCAAATAAAAATACTAATTTTTAGGAACATAAGTTATTAAATTTCATATAAGTTATTTGATTTAGAAATATAATTTATATTATATAGATATCATTTAAATATATATTAGGAAGAAATATGTATGTCAATTTTCATCTTTTTCAAAACTGACCTGTAATTTGTTTTAAGGTTTTAATCATCTCTTCTATATTGTGAGTTGTTAAATAGCAAAAACAAGCGTCCTGCCTTTTTTGCTTTTATTTTGACTCCTATTCTCAGAAAACGGCTGTTTTACGGCTGTTTACATATAATGTCTTGGTTCCGTTTTTTACTTTCAGTCTGAATTCAATTCCGAGAAAACACGATTTCATGGCGGTTTAGATGTAATGCCTAGATTCCTTTTTTTTTAAACTTTTATTTCGACTTCAATTAATACTAGATTTCAATTCAAAGAGGAGAGAATTATTAAATGTAAATTTTCAGTTAAATATCTTTAATGAACAAACAGTTCAGCTGAAATAATATTGCACACATTTAAAATTCCAGAGTAAGATATAATTTAATATTTGAGTGTGATTTTTATAAAAAGCACTTAAGTTTATAGATTAGTTCTTAAAATCATTGAAAAAATGTAAAAGAGTTTGTTTAATATGTATTTAATATGTATCGTAAAACAATTTTACATACTTTCACAGGTAATTTTAACCTCCAACTGGTACTTTTATGTTTACGATAACATTTTGATCCGAAATAGGTATAAATACACTTAATACTCGTTTATATATTTTTATTCTTCTTTTTTTTGGTTTTAAAATCATTGGAGAAATAAAGAAGTATTTGTTTTTCATGCGGGTGCATAGTAAAACAATTATGCATAAGAACAGTGCGCGAAGAAGAAAAAAAAATGGACAACCCTGAATAACTTTTTATCTAATGATTGGATCTTCACGTTCTGGGATTCAATCTTAATGCGTTGTGGGGGTGACTTTAAATATGCTAATTATTTAGTAAAGACGGTATTTTAAGTTAGGAAGTCAGACACAAAATTATACTTTCTCTGAGCAAACATATCTTTTTTCAGATTTCTGCCTCCAAACATATCTTATTTAGATTTCTGCCTCCAAAGAGATAGGGAGTAGAAATAATCTGGGAAATATGGTTCCAATAATTTGGTCAGGGTAGCGGTCGAAAGTTTTGACCCCTTAATGTTCCATTAATTTTTTATAATGTTAATTTTGAAAATAGTTTTAATAATGTTATGTAATCGTAAAATTAATTTTCCAATTTGTTAAAAGATATCTCGAGATATGGTGAAATAGGAAAAAAAAATTTAATTAACATTAAGGGGTCAAAACTTTGGATCGCTTTCATGACTAAACTATTAAGACCATATTTCCCAGATTACGATTACCTTTATTTTCGAGGCAGAAATCGGAATCAAACGAAAAAAAGGTATGTTTATTCAGAAAAATTACGTTTTTGTGTATTTTCTGCGCACTGTTCGTAGTCTTTAGCATCTAATAGAAATTTTTATTTCTGTAAATATTAAGTAAAGCAGCAAATTCAGAAAGTTAAACAAATTGTACTTCGGTTTCACCTTTCTAGCAGCATAAAAGATTTGAGTTCTGATGGTATTCATAAAGCATGCTTTCCATTAGGTAACTGTTGGTTTTTCGCGAGACAATGTCTTAGTTCACATCGGCAAATATGTTTTAAAGATCTAGGGTTTGCACTATTGTTCACTTTTGGCATATTCTTCTTGAGTCAAAGAAACGCTTTCTTTATTCACGAAATATCGAAATTCATGAAGAATATTCGTCGACTTGAATGAGTTAACATATGTATAAGGTATAGATCTCCAAATTAGATCTAAAGTTTCCAGCATCCTTTCCTGTTCGCAAAAAATACTGGAAAATGCATGGAGTGCTTGAAGAATTAAGTAATTCCTCCTCACTTGAAGTGAGCACTCTTTGGCTATTGTGGCATGACGATTTTCAAATTCTTTTGACATAACGGTCAATGAAGCATCTTTTAAACTGATAAAAAAATTTGGAACGCTTTGTAAAAATCATGACGTTCTGTTTCTCTGTCTTCAACTTGAAAACATAGATCACTCAATTTATATATGGTTGAGTTGTCATCAATTGTTTGTCTGTAATAATGAATAAATAATTTAAGAACTTCAATAAATTTTTCGATAAGTTTAGCAATTCGAAATCTACCAAGAAACTTGAAAACCGTTTTAATAAGTAATCTAAGTGAAAGGACTTAACATTATTTTGAAGAACTACTCACTGAAAAGGATTTTATAAAGGAAAAAAAAACTTTATTTTAAAGAATTACTGTTTAAAAAGTTATTTGGTAAAAGAAAACTAACATTATTTTAAAGAGTTACTAACTAAAAGGGATTTTGTATAACGGAAAAAAATATTTTAAGGAATTACTGGTTAAAATATTTTTGTAAAAGAAGAGAATCTTTATTTTTTAAAAAAAATTACTAATTAAAAAGGATTTCGTAAAAGAAAAAACAAACTAATTTTAAAGAATCATTAACTATAATGTATTTCGTAAAAGAAAAAAGCTTTATTTTGAAGAATTCCTAACAAAAAAGGATTTTGTTAAAGAAAACGAAAAATATTCGAAAAAAGTGCTACCTAAAAAGGGTTTTGTAAAAGAGAAAAACTTTATTTGGAATAATTAATACATAAAATAATTTTTGTAAAAGAAAAAAAAATATTTTAAAGAATTATTAATTAAAATGGATTTTGTAAAAGAAAAAAAAAATTTTAAAAAATGATTATGGTAAATTAAAGCATATGTTTAACGAAGGAATAATTGCAGGAAACAGGAGTGGAAAGATGTATTTAGTTACGTGAAAACTTCATTTTCTTAAAAAATTATAAAGTTGGCCCATTTCGAACACTCAAAAGGAGACATTCTTTCTCAAGGGTAGTCTGACTTATACGAGGGAATGAGGAAATGAAAGAACTGCATATAATGAGATGGAAAAAGTAAATAGGCTTGACAAAAATATATTATATTGTAGATTAAAGTTAAATTTATAATATAGATTACATAATAAAATATAGTAACAAACATATCATATATTTTTTACATTATTTATAATGTCAAATTTGACTACTTGACATATAGAAGAAATGTAATATTAAAATAAATTGGAGGCTTAACCCCTGCTCGCTCTATTCACCAACTCTCGTATCTTAGTTCCTTTCCCTTGAAATCCTTAAATGTTGATATTTTCAAAGAAAAAATTTTTTGTTCATAGAATATGTAATTCTTGAAATTTTGTAAAAAGAATATTATGTTGATATGTTAATCGTAAAAAAAATTAATGCTTGTTTAAATTTGCAAAATGATCAATTGTACTTTTGAAAGATTTTAAATTTAGGAGTAAACAATGTGTGAAACAATAAATAATATATGATAAGTTACTTTTCTTGTTAACAATAGATAATGATCACCTTATATTATATTAAAATAGCTCAAATTGGAGGCTGTTTCCTCTTGAGACTTTTCCAATTTAAAAGCTTCCAAAATGTTATGGATTAACAACAACATTTGACAACATCTAACCTCTTTCTCTTTTTTTAAAAATTTAATTTATTCTTTTTTTTTTATTGCTTTTGACATCAAGTCAAGCACGAGCTTATAAAATAAAGATCCCCAGAGAGAAAAATAAATTTTTCTTCAATGTATGAATAACTGTCATATAAAGCAGAAAAAAACTGAAAAGAAGAACAAGCGAGAAAGCACTTCAAATTGCTATAACTTTGGAGAAAAATGGAATTTCGAAAAAAATAGTTACCCCCTTTATGTTTAGAGAAAAGAAACTAGCCCTTTCAGCACATACTCTGCGGCTTACAGGTATTTTTAATTTTTTTAACCACAAAGTTTAGCAATTAATAATTCTCTAGCTAATAATCAAATGTTAAATTTTTTATTTAATTTGACATTTTGAATCTTATTTTTAAAATTTCAAATTACTAAGCAAAATAACGTTTTTTCAAAAAAAAAAAATTTCAAATAAAAACAGATTTTTTTCTTTGATTTCCCCCTTCCTTGAATTAAGAGCAAGTTACAAAAACAAAGAAAAATCATTATCCAGTTCAACGGTCATAATGATTCCATTACATGATTTCAATATTCATATTTATCTTGGTTAAGTAAATCATTTGCACTCACCTGAAAAATAACTACTATAAAAAAATTTATCTATATAAGGAATTTCGTGCACATTATTTTTTTAATTTATAGCGGAAGCATATGTTTACTTAGTTTAAATATAACCATTTAACCACTTTTGTAATAAGAGCATTTATTGAAATTTGTGTGCAAATGTGCTAAATATAATCAGAATTTTTAAAATTATTATTTAAAATTTTTATCGGTCCATTTATTTCTGGCAAAGGTAAATTAAAGTATTTTTGGAATTGAAAGTACGATATGAGAATAAAAAATTCATTTAGCTTATTAGATAAAATTTAAAATTGCAACGGCATTTTTTTTTAAATTGTTAATATGTTTACCACGGTCCATTAGGTGTTATAATAAAATAAGAAACTTAATGAATTTTATTTTTTTTATTCATGAAATAAATTTTATTAATACTGAAAAAAGAAACTATACATATTATAATTATATTATATTTATAAGTTTTTTAAAATTGTTGTATGATCACCAATTATATTTAAACGTGCTTCCTCAGAGCTGAAGTTATTAACAAATAGAAACCTGAACAAAAAGTGTTAAAATAGTTTAACATAGAGTTTTAAAAATTGGTGGTAAGTATACTTATCACGGCCTTATACGGGGTTCAGTTACATAATTTAAATTTAAAAAAAAATACGTAAATGTAAATAGTCTAATTTTTTACGAAAGATTTATCTTTTCAAATAGTTCATTAATGTGAGTTTAGTAGCTCCTGACAAATGTAGCTCCAGCATGAAAACATAGTTTCATGCTGGAAATCCTACGTGGTTTAAGGCCTATATATCTGGAGATCACTATAAATTCATTTTTTTGGTTCTATTCTGCAACCACTATTACATACCTTACTACTCAGATGAGTGTTATGCACAATTATGAGTTTGTATATACTATAACTATAGAATGGTTAATTTGCAATTGAAACTTTTATTTACTTCAGGAACAACAACAATGACTTCAACAACGGAAATCGTTTCGAAAAAACCGTTTTATATGAAAATGGATGGTCTTATATATCCAGGTTTCTTTTCATCAAAATGTTTCCGTGAAGCTATGGATTACAAACCACAAGCAGAGGACGTTTTTATTGTGACTTATCCAAAATGTGGGACAACATGGATGCAAAATGTAGCTCTTCACATTTTTCGTAAAGGAAAAGAGCTTGAAGAAACATCTCAGTTTCTGAGGCATTGCCCATTTATAGATATGTGTGGCAAGGAGAGCATTGACAAGATGCCAAGACCTGGTGCATTTAAAACTCATCTTTCGTATACCCATATGCCATATTCCTCTAAAGCTAAATACATTTTTGTTGCCCGCAATCCCAAAGATTGCGCCGTGTCTCTTTTCCACCACACTAGAAATCAACCTGGATTTATGTACTGGGATGGCGAGTTTAATGTTTTGTTCGAGCTTTTCATGACTGGTCAAGCGGAGTATAATGACTACTTTGATCATTTATTGTCTTGGTACCCTCATCGAAATGACCCCAATCTTTATTACACCACTTACGAAGATATGAAGAAAGACATAAAGAAAGTAATTGTCGATTTGGCTAAATTCCTTGGTGATGAGTTCATTGGGGCAATCGAAAAAGACAATTCAGTTTTGAATAACATCGTGAATTTTAGCAGTTTTGAATTCATGAAAAAGAAATTTGGTGAAGTTTATGATTTAAAACCAAAGGAAGGTGAGACACTTACGGAACCAAACACTTATGAAGGTTTGCAGCATATCAGGAATTTAATTTCTGAAATAGATTTGCCAAACGTTTTACCTGAATATAAATTTATTCGGAAAGGAATCGTTGGAGATTGGAAAAATGCTTTGACTGAAGAGCAAGCTGAAAGGCTGGATCGGAAGTTTAAGGAGAAAACTGAAGGGACAGATATTCCGAATTGGTTTTCCATTTCATAAAAATAATTACTACATACGTAAATACTGTTGCATATGTTAACATTGTAAAAGTTATTAGAACATAAACTTCATAAGAAAAAAAACTTTTGATTTAGTTTATGTTAAAAATGATTAAAGATTATTATACATTAGCTATGACATATTTTCTTAGTTGTGGTCGATCAATTTTTTCTAAGTACACTAAGAAAAAAAGTACACTTTCCTAAGTACACTAACAAAATTATAGTTTAATTAAATCATATAAAGTAAACTACGTTTCACTAACTCATACAAGGTTTCTTCATGTCTTACATTTTATAATAGTGATAGTAAAATTACGTTAATGGTATTTAACAATTTTTTTTTTAAAGGTACCACTCTAACGTTTAGATATCTGACACGTAAATAAGCCAGGAGACTCAAAACTAAAATGTGGAAAATATAAAAATAAAAAATACCTATATTTGAACTTTATAATTGAACTTCATAATTAATATAAATTTCGTTTTAAATTTCTTAAATTCTTCTTAAATTTCTTTTTAACAACGGTTAAAATGCCGTAAAGTTTCGCATTCAGTGTTTTTCAACCATAATAGTTGTAAACGGTTTCAAAACCTTATTGGCAAAAAATGTTCTTTACTGTAAACATAACGGTTAATTGGATGGATAAACTACTGCCGGTTATTTTACCATTACTTTAGTGTAATTCCAACCGTGTGCATGAAGCCCTCATTACCTCTTAACTATTAGTTCTATCAAAACAATAATAATTCTATTATCTTCATTCGATTCAGCATAAAAAAACATCAAAACGACACCAAACTTCTCCAAATAGCAAGACTTATATCCTCTTATCCCTGTCCTCACTTCATCATAACTTTCTGAGAAAAAATATAAAGTAACCCAATAACTCGAAATTATGTTCATATCATGTACTTACAAAAGTGAAGAATTTATTGTTTTTACGGAAAACTATGATTAATATTTATAATATATCGCTTCACTATTTTAACTACGTCAAAGTAATTTCATGCTGATAACAAAAATCGCATTTAATTAGATATTTAGAAAATAAAAAGCAATATTCACATATAAAAATAAATATATAAGATCGTGAATTTCATTAATGTTTTCGTTTCTTTCATATTTGCAACTTATATATCTGTTATATAAGCCAAGAGATCGAAATTCTAAAAATAATGGAGTAATACTATGAATAAAATAAAATTATGTACCCTTGCTCTAATCTATGTATCAACAACTCGTCGCTGATAGTGATACAACTATTGATATGACTTTAGCATGTATCATGTTAATTAGAGTTAAAATCTATTACACATATTTAAGTTTATTTAAGATTTTAATGATTAAAATTTTCTTGATTACAGTATTCAAAATTCTAGAATATAAGTGGGGGAGAAAAATTACGATCACTCACCAGGGCGTCATGTCTCCATCGAATCAACCTTCGTACTCCAAGGCAACGCTTCAACTGATTCCTTAAAGGATGCAACCCCTACAGCAAGAGGGAACTTCGCCATATTCACCCTTTGACTCACTTTATGGATGTTTTTGGCGCACTTATTATTTTGGGACTCCTTGCTCTGCATCATCTTTCCCCCGCCACAGACAAGGGATTACCGAGAAATTCATTGACGCACGTGGTGAGGAACCTAGTTCTTTAAAAGTGAAAAAATTTAATTAGTGCCCAAGGCAAAAGTCCACGAGTTCAAGAAGTTACAATCCTTGAAAACATCTTCTGGCACTGGAAACAATGTCGAGCTGGATCTCGCAAGCTAATGTCTAAGCTTTTGCTTCGTCTCTTGTATTCAGATGTATCCTGCTGAATACTTTCGGAGGAAGTGGTGAAGCATGTATACTGGGTGGAGCATGTATTTGAGATGCAGCTGTTTTTGGCAACGAAGGTGGTTGTGGAGGAATCCTACCAAATGATAAAACTGGAGGAGCAGGGAAATCCAGTTGAAGGATAGGTGGAGGAACCATGTGAGTGGGAACAGGCATTGTGGCACCAACAGTACGTGGAGCCTCAGAAAACAGTTGAGTACGATCAGCAAACACTTCATGAGAACGATCAGCAAACACTTCATGGGAACGATCACCAAACAGTTCATGGGGACGATCAGCAAACACTTCATGGGAACGATCAGCAAACACTTCATGGGAACGATCAGCAAACACTTTATGGGGACGATCACCAAACAGTTAATGGGGACGATCAGCAAACACTACTTGAGAGCAATCAGCAAACACTTCATGGAAACGATCAGCAAGCACTTCATGACGCAGTAGCTTTGAAGCCAAGACTTCACCTCAATTGTGCAAGCAGGCAGTCATTCTATTTGTCTGTCTTTTTCTTTTCCGACATCACTAAACTCTAAATCTCTGAATGCAAATATAAGTAACACCAATAGCTTTGTATCTAAAAATAGCAGTTTATCCAATTTGACCAATAAATAGCCTGGGGCTAAAGGCCCCCGATGAGTATCCTAGTTTTCCCCCATAATTCAAATGATTATATTATATAACTTTATTATTTGAACTAATTTGAAATAAATTCAAACACTTGATCAGGGTGTTAGAACCAATTTACAAATTAACCTTAAGTAAGAAATAAATTATTTCATTACAACTTTTCCAGGTGATCAGANAGTTCATGGGGACGATCAGATAAATAATAAATTATAAATTTATAATTATTCACTAAAATAATAAATTTATTTTAGTGAACTAAAAAAAAGAGTATTTTACAAGCATTTATAAACATTGAAATATTTTATTTAGAATTTATTTATCATTTGTATTTAATTCTTACTGTGACGTAAATTATATTTACCAACCGGTTCATTTGTCTCTTTGAAATTTGCCTGCAGGTGTGCAATGTTTTTAGGAGTAAAATGAAAGTAATTATATCTTCGAATATACGGTGCCAATCTGTTTACGTGACAATTAAAAACTTTTCAATTATTTTCGACACTTCTCGATAATTCACTTTTCACTCGATAATTCACTTTAGAAAAACACTCTATTATGCGATATGGCCATTCAAATTTTTTTAGTAATTTATTCGACAAACCTGACTTTTTTTAAATTTGGAGTTCTTACAAAACAGAGGAAACCTATTGGATAATTAAATTTTTCAATATTTTTCCCGATCTCACTTCTCCCAATATTTTTCTCTTCTTGAGTTTTCAAATTTTCTAAGACTTTTGAAAAAATTTCGTCTAAGGACCGAATTAATTTAGATTATATGAGCACTACGTCTGGATCATATTCTGATTGGGATTGAAATTCTTCACCCTCACCCAAACTGTAGGGCAATCTAGTGTCTCTAAGGTGTTCTATAAAAGATGTAGAAGCTTGTGTGCTTTCGTTAATTGCCAACATAGTTTGTGAAAGTTGCTTGTCCCATTCGTTATTTTCATTGCAAATTGTTGCCAAAATATTTGCAATTGATTGGTTTGGTTTTTATATTCTACCGTTAGCCCAAGGTGCATACTTTGAAGTATGAATTTTCTCGATACCTTGGATCTTACAAAACTCAGTAAATTCATTTCCTGAAAAATATTTGGCGTTGTCGGTTACTGTAATTTTAAGACAACCCCTGTGAACTATATAATTATCAAAAAATGCTTTTGAAATGGTTTCGGATTTTATGTCTGGTAAAACTGCTAAATGTATGTATTTAGAAAATGCATCAATCATTGAGAAAACATATTTGTTCCCCGATGTGGTAACTTTCAATGGTCCAAAAATATCAGCGTGGCAACGCTCTGAGGGATATGTACTTTGTTCGACTATCTGCGTCGGGGTTGATTGCATTTTAAAAACACTACGTCTGGATAAACAAGTGTAAAAGTGTGAACGTGAGCATTAATTATATTCTTATTATATATTTAGTATTCCATGTTTTGGCAACAGCAGTTCTTGTGTACGATATAGATTTTGAGTTTTTAGAATAACGGTGTGTGTAAATTTTAATAAAGTATTGTTTTGTTTTTCTTTTAAAAGTTGTTTCTTACACAAGGAATACAGGAATTTACAAAATTTTTCGTATCTTTATACATTTTATCCCAAAAAAAATTTCAGTTAATCTATTGCAGGTTTTAAAAAATCTGAGATGACTTCCTATCTCTGAATGGACTGATTCTAATACTTTAGGTTTTAAGGAATTGGGTACACAGATTTGCTTTTTAACATCTTTTCTTGGAGATTTACTGTTCCGTTTGGACAAATGAATTAACACTCCATTTTCATCTAACAAATAATTTGGATATTCAGAATTGTTATTTCCTTTTAGTTTATCAATAATTTTCTTCAATTTAGGATCTTGACTTTGCAAATTAACTAGTTCTGATTTTTCTGGAAAAACAATTGTTAAGTTATTGACATATCGTGATAAATGGTCAGCGACCACATTGAGTTTGCCTTTGATATAAATTATTTTGTAATTAAATTCTTCCAGAGCTAGTTTCCACCTCAAAATTTTAGACGAGGGATTCTTATTGGATAAAAAACCTTCGAGAGGTTTGTGATCAGTGTCAACATTAAATTTTCTACCTATTAAGAATGCTCTAAAAAAATATTAATGATGAATAGATAGCGAAAAATTCTAATACCGTAGCACTATATTTAGCTTGAGAAGGATTTAATTTCTTTGAGTAAAAATAAAGAGGCTTAACCTCCCCATTTGGATATTTTTTGTTCGAGTACTGCACCGATCTTTGAAGAACTGGCATTTGTTGTTAATTGTAATTCGGCTTCCGGGTCAGGTAGGGCTAAAACAGGTGGGCTCAAAATTGTATTTTTTACATCGTCGAAAGCGTTTTGTGTTTCATCATTCCAAACAAAGAGTACATCTTTACGGAGTAAGTTAGTGAGATGTAAAGCACGTTTTGAAAAATTCTTCATATATCGACGATAAATCCAGCTAACCCCAAGAACGATTTAATCTGATTTTGATCTTTAGGAACTTGAAATTCATTTATTTTAACTGTTTTATCGCGGTCTATTGACAACCCTTGAGGTGTTAAGACAAACCCAAAAAATTTACGCGTCCTCACATACTATTACTTTCAATACTGCCAGTTTATCGTTATCATTCCAATTATTGATGCGTCCTACTTCTTCTATTTTTTTAAATAAAACTATGAATTGAATCTTCCTTTCCTTTAAATTTTGGGATTAACTCTATGAAATGTTTCGTAATCCTTGTTCCGCACCCGCGTCGTACGGCTCCGGTTGCCGCCTACCTGCTCTATTTCTGTTCATAATCATTCAAAATTTAAACAAATTATATGAAATAAATATTTCCTTAACTTTTATAAAATACATAAAATATTCCTATCATACATATTTGACCTGCAAGCATTTAAAACAAGAAAATGAAATCGCGTACATACAATTTTCAGCACGTGCATAATTAAATATAAGTTTTTTTTAAGCATATTAATTCAAAAAATTTTAAAATATATCTAAAACTAAAATATATCTAAATATAAATAAATGAATTTTAAAAAAACACTGCGTGCATAAAACTTAAAATTTAAGCTGGGTGAATTAAGATTAGAAAAATAATGCGTTATACACCTTACCCGCGTGGTAAGGTGTATCGGCACCATTGATACAACTATTGATATGACTTTAGTATGTATCATGTTAATTAGAGTTAAAATCTATTACACATATTAAAGTTAATTTAAGATTTTAATGATTAAAATTCTCTTGATTACAATATTCAAAATTTCAGAACATAAGTGGGGGA